AAAGGTCTTTATATTTGTTTACATTTATCTCAATTGTAAATGGCGCCTGTATGGTCTTTATTTGTGTACCTAAGTTTTAATAAATTTTAACATTTTATCGTTAAAACAGAACTGTATCAGGTTTTCTGTACTCAATAAACATCAAATGTTTTAGCAGATGTTGTAAGAAAATAATTTATGAATGTAGGAAACATGTTCTTAAAATTTCACCAAAACTGAAAAAATAAGCACACCTTGTTTTGGGGGTACCTAACTTTGAGCCTAGTAATACCTAGATTATGGTAGATAATGGAGAGTAGACAGGAATATGAGTTAATATTGTTAACATTTAAAAGGTTTAATATCACTTTTCTGTGGGAAAAATAAACCTTTAATTTTTTATTCATTTTGTTATCAGTTGCTTATACTTTTTAACCAAGTTATGTTTTGTTGTGAATATTATAGAAAATATTATCTATAGACACTAATAATAGTATATTCAATAATGGTTTTAATGCGTGTTGTCTTTTCATGTTCTCATTATCATTTCTGTTCCCTCACATTAATACATTTAAATTCCTTGATCTCGGAAATTGCGTCTTTAATCTGATTCTCCCTGGTCACCCTTCCTGGGCTTTATAACCCCAGTCAATCCTAAATCTTAAATCCTATATATCATGTGATTAACACTTACCTCAAAGGATTACTTATGACATTTTTGATTTCAGAAGTCCCTTGACCTGTTGATATATTATATTATTTGATAGCCTTTTAGTTTAACTTCATCTAGAAAATTACTCACAAAAGTGTTAAGTGGATTTAACCAGGGCAGTTGTTTCTAAACTGTAGTCCCTAGGCCACTGGTATCAACATCACTTGTGACCTTTTTAGAAATGCAAATTATTAGGCCTCACCAAAGATCTCTATAAAAAACTCTAGGACTGGGACCCAGCAATCTGTATTTTAACAAATCCATGTGATTCTCATGTGAGGTATAGTTTGAGAACCCACTGACCTAGATAGAGACCGTTCTAGTTCTATGTGTAGTTCTATGCTTGGTAGAGAAGCAAATAATTGTCACACATGATGAAGTCATGTTTGTTTCTATCCTCAGGTCTGCATAGCAATGCAAACTCTTTGCATTACATAATTAATTCTCTCTCGTGTACTCAGCATAAGTCGTGTAGGATTAAATGAAAAATGTCTGAGTGACCTGATTTGTTTTATAAATGTCTTTAGATAGGCTCTGATATGGCTTGGTACAATTTATTATTGTTATTAATATTATTACTTTATTTTCAATTATATTCTGTAGTAGAGTCACATGACTTATTTCACAAGACATGCATTTCCCTAAAATGTGTCTACCAGCTTATATTATTTTGCCTTCTGTGTTTTTCTAAATCAAATTTTACTTAAAATCAATTTTCAGAATTTTTATACCAACAATTTGAAGTTGAATTTTATGTATTTATTTTTAACTGTGCTTCCGTGATTGGTTCCTAATATCACACCTGGATACATCTTAATGATAGTTCCTTCTTTCTTAGCTAAGTGTTTAATGTTAAGTTTATAAGCACGGATCCAAATCCAGTGATTTTCCTGATTATTCTGTTTCTGAATATTGAGATATGTGTATTCTGTGGAGTAAAGCTGTTTTTATTGGGTATTTTGAGAAACTCATATTAGGCAGGAACTGGTTTTACTGGAAAAATTCCTTTGTGTGATATAGTATGGTAGAAGTGGATATTTTGGTTGGTGCCCATGTTTTTAATGGAAAAAAGAAACAAACACTAATAAAGGAATGAGAGAGAAGAATTTAGGGCTTTGCAATGACTAGAGAAAGAGTCAAGGAGATGGAAAATCTGATGGTAGGGTAGCTGAAGAGGGATTTATTTGGAGAGAAAAATGAGTAATGGAAAAATCTTAAGTAATTTCATACGTATATGCTTGCAAACCTTCTTTCTCTCCCATACGAAATCTTTAGAATGCTCTACATAACTTATGATGGCTAACGTACTGGGTTTTTTTTGGGTGGGGGTAAATATGTAAAGATGTTCTCAGTCATGCTTTAAAGATTTGTGCTTGGCAGAAAAGAGTACCTGCAGTGAAAGCCAACACCTGAGTTCCCATGAGGAGAAGGGCATTACTAAAATGAAACTCTTGAAGATGCAAAGAAAACATGTTTTTCACAGTGTATAATTATAAATAATCAGCATATGCTTTTGGAGATTTTGTATCATTACACTATTATAAAAGAAAAATATGACATAGTAAAAGAATTTTTTTTTACCAAATATTAATACTTTGCTTATTTAAATAGTCTTAAAATAATAGTTGATATCAAGCTAAAGAATTAGTTCATCAATTTTCAAAAACTGATATTGGAAGCCATTTTCACAGTGGGGAAACAGCTCTTACAAATAAATCTGCATATCTAAATTTCACCTATCACTGAATTTTCACTTTCAAAGTATCTGAATCTTTTAATAAATTTTTAGTGGATATACCATTGTACTTCTCATTTATATTGGTCTATTATAGCCCAATTTAACCTTTTCTTTATGAGATAGGACTAATTTGGAATGCTAAATTTGGTTTGGCATTGAACAGGGCCTGCATTAAGCATGCAATACATATTTAATGAATGAATGAATGAACTAATGAACTGTACCCTGTATTTTCAGATCTACCTAACCGGGAAAAGATCTGCTGTTTGTCTTAAGTTATTAGCTAAAAAGAAATGCAGTAATCATATAGTGTTCTATTACCTAGATTTTTATATTCCAGACGTTTATTATTTTTTTCCTCTATTTATGGACTAAACTCTTTGTTTTAGTAATGAAATGTCACAGCGTATTTAGGTGCGATGTATTTGAGGTTTTTAGGTGAAGAGGAGTATAACAGCACCAAACTTGTAGAGCTGCCCTTGAAGACAAACTGCTGTTAGACATTTTCAGACTGTCTTCATGATGGGGAATAGGTAACTGTTTAGAAGAACCTTTATTTAAATCTTATTTCTTACTCCTGTTTTACCCCCATTGTTCAGACTGGCTGAGAGAGAAGAGTGAAAATGTTGGTGTGTAATGGAAGAAAACATGGCATGAGATGAGTTTCCTGATTATTCCTTTATTATGTCCTTAGTTGAGAATGTAGTCTCTTAGCAACAGAGTATATGCCACAAGGCTGCTTGATTTTTTTAATACCATGAAATATTTTAGGCATAAACAAATAGCAAATTATGTAATAAACATCTATGTGTATACAACTCACTTTAACAAAAATATTGCAGATACTGAAGCTTCATGTGTTCCCTTTCTTCTACCCACAGGGAATCACCATAGAATTTGATATTTCATATTCCTATTTCTGATTTAATATTTTTACTACATACATATATATCAGTAAGTTTCATATAATGTTTTGATAGTTCTTGATCTTGATATAAATGCTATTCTTCTCTACCCTTTTAAAATTAACTTTTGTATGTGGGATATTTGCATATGTTGGTACTCTAATCCATTCATTTCATACCATTGTATAGCATCCAGTTGTTTAATTATATTGCAAAGTTTTACCCATATTGTGGCTGTTGAAATTTTGATAGCTTCCAGTGTTTTGGCTATGGCAAAGGGTTCTTCAGTGGATAATTTTGAATGTCTTCTTGTGTACGTTTATGAGAATTCCTCTAAGCTATTTCCTAGGAACAGAATTGTTGGGCTATGGGGTTAAGATGTCTTTAACTTTGCATCACATATGATGTCAAGTTGTTTTTACCAATGATACTACCTTCAGCAGCGATGTTTTCTATGGTTGCTGACTAGATGATGTTTTTAGACTTTTAATTTTTTCCAATGCCCTGAGTGCGAAATGATATCTTATTGTTGTTTTAATTTGTGATTGCTTGATTCAACAGTGAGCTTGAGTATCATTACATATGTTTATTGGCCATTCAAGTGTCCTCTCCTGAATAAATTTTTTGTCAATCTTTCTCTTGGTTTGTTTTCTTTGTCTCATTGGCTTACAATGTTCTTCATGTATTGTGGATGCTCTCTGTCTTTTGGTATATTCATTACAAATGTATTCTCCCAGTTTATAGCTTGTCTTGTCATTCTGTCGATTCATCTATTTATGATGATAAGTTTACAGTTTTAATGGTCAGAATTACCAGTCTTAAAGTTTTATAGTTTTAAAAAATATTTCATTTAAAAAACCTTTTATATTCCAATATTGTAAATGCATTTCTCTGTGTTTTCTTCTAAGCATTTTATGGTTCTGCCTATCGTGTATAAATATTAATCTATGTTCAAATGATTTGGGGACATACTAGTTGGTGGAGATCTGTTTTATTTTATTTTCATAAGGATAATCAGTTGTTCCAGCACGACTTATTTAATAGTGTGTCCTTGACTCACTGGTTTTTAACGCCTCCCTTATGATATGTTAATTTCCGTGTGTGTGGGTCTGCTCTTGTTTGTTTTACTTTCTTCCACATCCTGCATTCCACCTTTTCTTTACTTCCTACACTTTATATAACCTTCTGTCTTTCTTGCTTAAGGCATTTCTTTAGATTTTATGTCAACTCTGTCACACTCTTATGAAATTCAGTAAATGTTATATGATTTTAATGGCTTTTCATTGTTTTTCTACCATGACATCTACATTTCTGTTTGTTCATAATGTGTCTTTTTGTTGATGGTGTTTTCTAAAAAAAGGATCCATTGTTTTCTTTTGCATTCTGTTTATTGACAGAAGCGTTAGAGTTGAAACCACAACTGAAAATGTTATAGTCTTAATTTAATTATAAAATGCAAAAGCAGACTTCAAAATGCATATTTTATAAGTAAATTAAGAATAACCTGCCTTTTCTAAACCACTAGTATTTTGATTAAAACTTTAGAAAACAATTTTTTAGACAATTTGATTTTTTGTGCAAGTAAAACAGTATTTTGTTTTTCTTGAAATTCATTAATTATTAGTCCTATCATGCTGTTGTTAACTGATCTTCTTTAATTTTTTAGATGGTTGGAATCCATTTTCATACCCATATAAAAAACTGGATTATGGAAAATGGGAGCTGTATATTCCACCAAAGCAGAATAAATCTGTACTCGTGCCTCATGGATCCAAATTAAAGGTAGTTTCCTCCGTCCTGTTTTTTCCTGAACTTAGCATGTTCTTTTTATCTTGTTTGCCAAGTTTGATTTAAACTATTAGAATGTGTAACTGATGAAGGATAATTGTGGGAGAAACAGTCTAAATGTACAAATAGAGGAAAATTTAGGAGAGGGTCTTGCTGAGTTGAATTGGGTTAGATTAGAATTGTTTGACTGGTAGGGAACAAAACTTAGTTGTATTATTATCACAAGTTTAGAAACTTTATATAAGAAATGATATATTAAAAGTGATTTTGAGTAATTGTAAAACTTTAGCTTGGGAAACAGAAAGTTTAATGGAAAAATGAAACCTGTCTTCAAATCAGCCAAAGTAGAGAGGATTTTTATCTGTAAAGAAGTCGGATGAAATTGATGTGGGAGGGGATGCTGTGTTGGACGCTCATGCATTTTGGAGACTGCTTCTTCTGGTTCTTCCTCTTTCTGGCCTCTGACATGGTGGTGGTGCGGTCTTGTTTATCATATTCTTCTGTGATAATGCCACCTGAATTAGCCCAGGGGTCTCTCTGTTGGAGGCAGGCTGAGTGTCCTCCACACTCCCTCTGCCTTGGTTGACCATGTGGTTTTGTATTCAAGGTCTGCAGAGCAATTAGAGTCGGCGCTCTTGTCTCATCAAGGGATGTCTGAGGGATGGGCTCCAAAGTCTGGATTACAGATTTAAGGCATTTGTTTACAAGAGAAGCGATCTAAATCTTTCCACATTTGCTTGATTTTACTCCATGGTCATATAATTATATAATATTTCCTTGTCCCTTGTGTCTTTCTTCCTCGGACATTTACCATGATAAATCCTATGATTGAGTTGTTATTTTTATTGGCATTTGTTATTTAACAGTATTAACTCAGAGTTACTTAAATATATTAAATCAAAATGCACAGTATGTTTATTTTGTAGGTTGTTAAAAATATTTTATAAATAATGAAATTATAAGTGTATATAAAATTTAGTAAGATATTGCCACACATAATAATAGTAAGCAGAGAAGAATATTGTTTGGAATAAGAAGACGTTTAACAAGAGATGGCAGTCAAGGTTCTTCTTAATCTGTAGTGAAAAAGAGAAAAATACCGATAGTATGTGGTAAGAGGAATTAAAATTTAATATAAATAATCCCCTTTCCATGTCAGTATAAGCTCCATGAAAGCATGGTCTTTGCTGTGTGTTTTTTTTTTTTCCTCCTGTATACTCTCAGTTCTTTGAACAGTGCGTGGCAGAGTAGACACTCGAAAAAAAAAAAATGTATTGAGTGTTAAAGCCATTTTGAGACCCAGTCTTCGAAGGAGTAAATCAAACAATTTGATTCTTCGATAGTTTGTAAGGGCTAATTTTACAGAAACTGTGGCAAGGCAACTATTATTGTTTTCATTGCTGCTTTAGGTCTTAATGGCTGTTTTATTTTTAACCTTTATTTTAGGTTCGGAACTTTTTTTTAAGAACTGAACTTACTACTTTTTAAAAAGTGTTGCGGAAATTTTTTCTGCCATTTTCTTTTTTATTTTTTTTGAGATAATTAGCAGATTAACTTTACTGAGTTTTTACTTATTACAATCAATTAACTAAAGGCACCAATCTAAATCACAAACAGCTGCTTGGCACCAGCTGCAGCTGTGAAATCCCTGAACGCCTTGATTCTGTGACCCTCAGATGTTTTAGCTGAAGCACAGGAGAGTTCCCAATCATGGTGGAGCTTTGGTTGCAGGCCATCACCTCATAAGGTTGATTTTTAGCTGCCGAGTTCTATTTATTCATAGTTTCACTAGTTCAACAAATATGTATTGAGTATCTTCTATGTACCTGTTACTGTAATATGCACAGGGAATCCGAATTATAAAAATTACTTCTTGTAAGGAAATAATCTAATACATTAGTTATTTTTAATGTTTATCTGCTCCAATAAGCCTAAGAGCTCAGACACAGTCCACTCAGTAGAGGTGGCTTCCTGTGGAAGTAACTGCCAAGCTAAGGAGCTAGGTCTGTGGAAGAGGCACGATGGGCTGTTTCAAGTTTTTAAATTGGAAAAACAGATTTTCCTCCTTTGGGTGGAGAATCACTATAATAAACATAACTATATAGACATAAAGTTCCTTTCCCTCTCAAACAGGGATCTGTATGATTATATTGTTAAACACTCATTACCTCATTACTAGACCCAGCATCATCTATTAAAAGATAAGAATAAACAGCTCACTGGTTTTCTTGCTTTGTTAGCCAAAGTAGGAGGCATGAAAAATACCAACATAAGCAGCTACCACTTATTGAATGTTTCCCATTGATAGCTAACTAATTTACATATATTTTGTCATTGACTCATTGCAAGAACTTGATACAGTAAGTACTATTATTACTGGCTCACCCTACGTTTGGCTTTGCCTGAACAGTACCAGTGTATACCTGTTATCTCAATTATTATAATTTTTGATTACTATAGCTTTATTTTTATTTTTTATTTTTATTTGACTTTAAGTTTGGGACACACACCAAAGAACATGCAGGTTTGTTACATAGGTATACATGTGCCATGGTGGTTTGCTGCACCTATTGACCCGTTCTCTGAGTTCCCTCCCCTCACCCCCACCCCACAACAGGCCTTGGTGTGTGTTGTTCTCCTCCCTGTGTCCATGTGTTCTCATTGTTCAGCTCCCACTTATGAGTGAGAACATGCAGTGTTTGGTTTTCTGTTCCTGTGTTAGTTTGCTGAAAATGAAGGTTTCCAACTTCATCCATGTCCCTGCAAAAGATATGATCTCATTTCTTTTTATGGCTACATAGTATTCCGTGGTATATATGTACCACATTTTCTTTATCCAGTCTATCATTGATGGACATTAGGGTTGGTGCCATGTCTTTGCTATTGTAAACAGTGCTGCAGTAAACATATGTGGGCATGTGTCTTTATAGTAGAATGATTTCCCTGATGAATATCAATGTGAAATTCCTCAATAAAATACGGGCAAACCAAATCTAGCAGCACATCAAAAAAGCTTATCCATCATGGTCAAGTTAGCTTCATCCCTGGGATGCAAGGCTGGGTCAACATATGCAAATCAATTAATGTAATCCATCATGGAAACAACCAAAGACAAAAACCACATGATGATCTCAGTACATGCAGAAAAGACTTTGATAAAATTCAACATCCATTCATGTTAAAAACTCCCAATAAAATAGGCATTGATAAAACATACCTAAAAATAATAAGAGCGATTTGTGACAAACCTACAACCAGTATCGTATTGAGTGGGCAAAAGCTGGAAGCATTCCCTTTGAAAACTGATACAAGACAAGTATTCCCTGTCTCACCACTCCTGTTCAACATAGCATATAACTTCTGGCCAGGGCAATCAGGCAAGAGAAAGAAATAAAGGGTATTCAAAAAGGAAAAGAGGAAGTCAAATTGTCCCTGTTTGCAGATGACATGATTCTATATTTACAAAACCCCATCCTCTCAGCCCCAAAACTCCTTTAGCTGATAAGCAACTTCAGTAGAGTCTCAGGATACAAAGTCAGTGTGCGAAAATCACAAGCATTCCTTTACACCAACAATGGACAAGCAGAGAGCCGAATCATGAATGAACTCCCATTCACAATTGCTCCAAAGAGAATAAAATACCTAGAAATACAGCTAATGGGATGCGAAGGACCTCTTCAATGGGAGCAACAGACCACTGCTCAAGGAGAGAAAATTTTAATAATCATTGTAAGAAATGGGTAGCATTCTGTCTCTAGTTCAGAAAAATACTAAATTTTAATTTTCAAATAACAATCAGGAGGTACAAATTTTAGTAACTGACATCTGTCATCTCTAAACCTATTTTTCAAAATCTAAATAGCATAAGTACTTTTGGTCTTTTGTCATTTTTTTTTTTTTTTTTTTTTT